CGAATCAAAGGAAGCGAGGAGGCGAGAGGCGGGAAAATCAAACCCCAAAAATAAAAAGGCGCGCGCCCGCGCGGTACATTTTTTTTTCGCGATGCGATTTTTTTTTGGCGCGTCTATGACTGCAACTTGCATCATTTTAGACAATAAAAAAAATACGACCTTTAGGGTGTCAGTGCCGCTTTAAGTTGAGCACAAATACTAAAAAATAAAATTCAACTTCTTTGAAGATACTTCCGCATTGCGTAAGTTGTTTCGACGTCAGTGACAAGCACAATTTTACCTTTCCGCAAATCTGGTTCACGAGAAAGGTTTATGGCACGCCACAACACAAAAAAAAAAAAAAAAAAACGCCGTAGGGTTATTTTTTGCGGTCCAACTACAAGAAGAAAGATTTCACGGATATATGTCAGGAAACATTTCTGTGACAAAAAAAAAAAAAGAAAAAAAAAAAGGTCGTTCCAGTTTGAGCGACGTTGCTGAGAATAAGATCCTGTGGCGCACCTTAGACATCTTTTAACTTCAATCCATATACAATACATAGTGAGTTCACTATAAAGAAACGTGGGATGCGAAAATGAGTGAATGGATAATAAAGTGAGACCACATAATATCCATGGCACTGGTCGCACCTTCTTCACGTAGGTTGCGTTCAGAAAAGCACTCAACGTTGGGGGACGCTGTGTTGGCATTTCGAAGGATCATCCTACTCTTAGTTTCGGCTCTTGTTCTCTTTTCAGCTTTTCAATGTTCGCTTACAGACAGTGTTCGCGATAGCAATAAGTGCCGGACTGACGACAAAAAGAAAGAAAAAAAAATAAACCTTGACGTTCTGCCGTTGTGCGTTCAAATACAAACAAGCAAAACACGTTTTGTGTCTACGTCTCATTTTCTTCTATTTGGTATTTTCTTGACACTGAAGTCTGCATTGTTGTCCTGGGTCGTTTCCTGTTTTGCGCTGCGTCTCAGTGTGGCAATCGTTACTTTCGTAAAACCACCCCTTTCGTTTGAGAAATATTTTTTTCGGTACACTCTAGGAAACAAAAGGCAGCTTCGGGAGGGCGAGGAGAAAATTCTTATTGTGCGAACTTTGGGGGCAAATTTGAGTCACAATTGGCACAAAAATGACGTTTTTACGAGTTCAATCTAATGACCAATTCCATTGGTCGTTTTGGAGGGCGCCGGGATCAGTAGATCAGATCCGAGACAAAGCACGCAATCCGAACGGAATCGCTCCGCCACCGGATCCCCAGTTGGACATGACCGCCACACCGGGATCGGCGGATGTGTTCCCGTCATTACCCTTCCCGGGAATCCCCTTCCCGTTGTCCTGGATCTCGAAGCACATGTATTCGCAATCGCGGTGCTAACAAAACGTGTTCAACGCATGAGTGAAGTTAATCATGATGTGAAAGATACGTGTCGATAAGCGATGTGCATCAGTGTAGCCGCGTAGCCCACTTGCCTCTTGATCGGAATAATCGTGACTGGTGTCGAAGTACGTCTAGATTTTTGGCCTCTTCTGCGGAGGTCCGAAAATGCAGCCGAAATTGCGGGACATACAAGCAATTATCGTCGTCACTGCTAGTCGCGCCGCTGCTGCCGACCGAGCTGCTCGAGCAACTTGACGGCGAACTGTTACCACGAAGTAGCAGCAGCAAAGCGGACGGTACTTCTCGAGCGGCCATTACGAATTCTCCCGATGCGAGAAGCCCGGCGAGAAAGGAAGTCACGTGTGCACGACGGAGGGCTAGCCAGGCTGGCTTCCGGTCGAATCCGTCGAAATGGGCGGAACGACTTTTCTCGGGTGCGGATCGAGATCTGGAGTGGGAGCTGATTCAAAACGACGAGTGGAACACGTCCGTCTCGATTCCGATCGCCCCGTGATATAAGAGCGCTCCAACAAAGTCGGTTCCGGTACGCTCCAAAACGACCTGTGGAATTCGCCGTAAGTCACCGCAGCTTATCAGAGCTAGCAACAGGATTTTGTTGCTCTAAATAATGCTCACGTTTGCTCGTGCCACGCCCACGCCAGCTCATACCGAAAAACTCGGAAAATGGAAGAATGTCAAAAATGTATTTGATATATTGAGCACAAGATACTCAGAAATGTAATTAAAATACAATATCAAATACCCTCGATCAAAAGTATTAGCCAGTTACCATTATACTTCAAAAAGTATTTGAGGTACAGTGTCCTGAGTAAAGTGTTTGAGATAGGCAGTAGTCTGACATACCATACGCGCATTCCAGATTATATCAAGGGTATTACACCGCCGATAAAAGTACTCTCTACCGACCATGTATTCCAGATTATATCAAGGGTATTACACCGCCGATAAAAGTACTCTCTACCGACCGACCTGTAAAAAGCAAAGCGGCCGGCTCACACTCCGAACAGCACTATTTACTTCCGCTGACTAAAGAAAAATAAAGCCTACGTAGCTGAGTCTGCCGCGCGCTGGGCTTACACGGAGGTTGCTCGGGTTCGATTCCCGGCACAGTACGTCCTTTTCCCTCTCTTAATGTAAGTAGCAGAATCTAGAAAATTAAAGAACCGTCTAGGTTTGTTTATGTACGGGAAAGGCCGAAGCAGAATATTCTAGGCTCCCAGAGAAGATTTCAAAGAAACTGCGCTCCGCCGTATGAGTTAGTCTCGCCCCAGCTCTCGATTCTGTTGTTACGGCTTTATCAACGCCTGCGACGCTAGCCTCCTTCTATTTTCTTTTGGAAACAGCTTGGCGCCCATTAAACGTTTAGTTTCCTTCAGCCTTTTGCCGCCTGATCAATTGTCATGGGTGAAATATGGCCATGTACTCGTTATTTCGAATACATGGAGCTGAATGGGCCTCAGTTGCAAGAAACGGGCCTCATTTTCTCAATAAAATGTTTAAGAAAATTGCTTATATCTTTTGAATAAGATAACCTTTACTCCTGGAACTTTGGCGTCTGTTTCAAATTGCTAGAACTACATTTGGGTGCAGAAGGAGTGTTTGGCTATGTGTCGTTCATGTTTGCATTAAAAAAAAAAAAAAAAACACCTGTAATATTGTTTTTTTTTGGGGACGGGCTGTATTTGAGCACACATCAAAGTCACGTTAATATTAAATGAGTAACATTAATAGGGCCAGCTTCGGGTTTTCGTTTCCCAGGGCATGTAGTCCAGATGACGTCATAGTGTCAGGTGACGTCATCCCAAAAGGCATTGCGAATACACAGTATTCGCAGGTATTTCGTGAGGTCCCGTGACAACGTGACGGCCGTGACACTAACCCAACGTTACACAAAATGTCACGTGGCGCAAGAACGCCATTTTGTCACGTGACGTGGCGTTTTTTAGGGCTTATCCCAATTCATTTCGAGATTCGTCTTTTACTAACATCTTTCCGTTGCTTGCTGGCCGGGAATACTTGCATGTTGTGCAGAAATGTGAACGCACCTGCCTTTTTTAAAGTGTGGGCGAGTACCGGATGCCGCTCTATAGTCTAAAGACGCCCGTGCATTTAGTGTCCTTTATAGCACTGGATGAGCCACTCACTAGGATCTAAGAAGCCCACCTTTCAAATGGCAATGCCTCCCCCCCCCCCCCCCCCCCCCCCCGAATACTTTGAATTTCCTTGATCATTCTAATAACCTAGGGAGCACAGCATGTGTCGTTCGTGCATTATGCGTGAGTTATAAATTATGTTATGCCTGGTTACGGAGAGCTCATGTGATTTCGTATCTGTTTCACTCACGACACACTCACGTGCTCACCGGGCTAATCAGAATAATCGAGACTAGTGTAAATTCCCTCAGGATCTATAGATCGGTTTGCGAGATACACTTTGTCATTCTGGAGTCAGCTGCGTGGGACGACGGTCGCCTGCCACCATGCAGGGCCCCGTGAGGAATAGGTACGATTATATATGCTTTAGATCCTGTTCGCCCCTTCCTCGCGGCGGGGAGCAAAACGAACCGGCAGTGGATTGCACGTTTTGGGGATTCGGTTTTTTAAACTGGTGATGACGAATAAACATACATGACTGTAATAGGTCTTCTCTATTTGCTTCTCTAGCTGGCTGTTAGAGATTACGTATGCCTTATGTTTTCTTGGCCTACGTGTAACGGGTTTTCACTGCATTCCAGAGTAATACTTTTCACATTAAACCGATTCCTTTAACACATTACGCGTTAAAAGGCTCGACCTGAAAAAAAAAAAGAAAAAGAAAAACGCACGTCTTACTTTCTGCGCGCGTCTCCAGATTAAGCACTTGTTGTTTGCTTCTCGTTACTCCTTGAATGCGCTCAGCGCATTGCAGTAAATGGCTCATGCTTTGTCCCGCGGGAAAGTAGGTGTGCACGCACCTCTAAGAGTGCATAGAAGCGCATAGAGTGAGAACATTGCAAAAACACTCCTCTTTCCACGCATTGCTCCCGTTGAGTAAGGCAGTGGTTCTCCAATGGGGGTCCGCGAAGTCATTCTAAGGGTCCGCGAAGCCTTGACCCATCAGTGAAACCCGGAAATAGAAGTTGGCTCTTTTTAGATTGAGAAAAAACTTTCGAAGCTTAGGGTGAATTTTCTCATGTGTACGTTAATGAGAGAAGTCTACTTCGCACTAGTCCTTACTTCTATTATTTTATTAAATCGTTATGATAATTAATCTATACATTTCACATCTCCTCTCCGCAAACGAAGTCGTCGATCATCTCCGCCTATCCACAAGGGGTCCGCAAAGCATCTATGGTTGAGAACCACTGCAGTAACGCATACCCAGCGCACCATTCATCTCGAATCCGAGTATTTCACGTCCCCACAGCAACAAAAAGAATGTTCCTGACACCTTAAGAAACACAAAGCGTGGCTTAATATTTTTTCGCTTCTTTCCTCGTGATGTTGTCTTAGACCTTCTCGTTACCAGGTATCGCAATCCCACTGACTCGCCACGCCTTTTTTTTCTTAAGCTGCCTGTGACCACAGTTCATTCAGGACAGGTTTACAATTGCCTGTGCATTCAACTTACTTTCCTTTGAGAGCATTTTCCTTGCAATCCATTGAGCATCGCCTCCCATAGGGTACGTGAGAACTGGAAAATAGGTCAACGTTGACGAAGAATGAGAGGCACATTTATTTCGAACACTACGTTTAAGCTAGGTTTAAAACGTTCTAACCACTAAAAGCAATGATGACGCCTTTATGCGAGGGTATGTTCAGATAAGGACGGTGATAAGGGTGTCGTGCCTATTTTTTGTTTTCACTTAAATTTCCATATGAGATAGGAGAACATGTTCATATATAAAAAAAAAAAAAGAAACCTTACTTTCGCAGAAAAACAGAAAAAAAGTCACTGTTTTTTTTAAAGAAAAAAAATGCATTGCGTGGAGGTTGCGCAGCGATATTTCCTATTGCGCGTAGACACAACTTTGAGGGCCACATAAATAAAGAACAATATGTTTTAAAATGTGAATATGTTTATGTATAAAGAAAGCGAACTGGTGTATTTGGATTAGGAAAATTTATTATACGTTTATGTTTAAACTAAAATAATAATCACAAACTCGACCTCTTGCGCAACTTTTTCATATGTAGTGATTTTCAGAGTTTTATAGCCATCTTAGACTAACGTTTATAAGCTGAAACGTTTTATACAGAACGTTCAATGCTTCGTTTATTTTGAACAAACAAAGTTCGCACTCAACAATTGCAAGTGTTTCTTGCATTGCGCCCGGACGTTTTCGAGTTAAGGAAAAAAGTCAAAATATGCACTTTGAGTTCGGCAATAAAAAACAAATCCTGGATTATCGTTTAATTTTAATTCACAAGATTTCCAATACATGTAAATCGAAGGGTGCAACATTTTGCAGGATTCTATTGTTTTAATTACGAAATATAAAACTTTAGCCCGGTTTATGTTGTAGTCAATAGACCTCTTTCGAAAGTCAAGGGCCGATTGATAAAAAATCGGATCCACAGCACAATGGTGGAACCAACGACACCGCGCAACGTGCAAGTAGCGCGAGCGGGTGGGTTCGACTTGTGGTCCCGACAGTGTCGGATCAAAATTTTTATCGGCACGGTTCGGGTTCAAGTTCAGGGCTTTTGTTTCAGTTTCGGTTCATTTAAGGGGTGCAAAGGAAACGGTTCAAACCGGTTTGACCCGGTTCAAATGGTTTGAACCGCTAACTTGAGCATACTCTTTCCGCGTGGTTTTGGCAATCGGCACAATTTCCGTCCTGAATAGTGTAACTATAGAGAGTGTTTATTGTTTTGTACAATCCACTTTCAATTTCAGGTGCCAAAAATAAGAAATTGCGTTGCTTAATTTGAAAGGAACAGCCAAATAAAATGTAGATCAACATAAAATTGTAATTTTTATGCGACTTGACATTCATTTGTTTACCTCAATCAGATATATTTTACATGCATCGAAAGTGTTTGTCACGAAGTTTGGTAGGGCATCTAAAATACCCGTCATTCGTACAACTTTGCATCGCAGTATTGAAAGCTGAGTCATAGTTGTGCTTTTCAAGTAAATAATTAATTGCAACGCATACATTTATACAATAGGTACATCGTTGCCATATTTATATAATGAAATATAGTTTACGAAATACGCTTTACAATATACAGGTTGCGGCCGCAAGGACCAAGGCATTTGGCACCCCCGCAGGGAGCACCTGCGATTCGCCTCGGAAAGCAGCCGAAGCGCGCGCATTCCAGCACGCTCGAACGCTGGAAATGGCGCTGGCCAGAAGCTCGGCTTGCGCTTGGGCGAAGAAAGCACTGGGCGCGAGCTCGTAGTTTGACTGCTGCAACGGCGGGCGTGCCCTCGCAGTACTCGATATGCTTGCAGCCACGTGTTCGCGCGCTACCTTCGCTGCGTCTTGAATGGACCTTTCGGGGAAAATGTGCTGCCACCTATGGGGCGATGGACGAATCTGAGGCGCACTGGGTTGGAGAGTATTTGTTGAGAAAAGAACGTCCACGTTAGGCTTCTTGAGTGCTACCGGTTCGCTTTCTTTTTGCTGCTCTTAGTTTTCTTTCGCTGCTCTTCAAAGCATTTTGAGTCGGGATGTCTCGGGATGAGAACATCCCGTTCGCGTTTGTCTGGACAGCTGACTCGGCTTCCAGTTCTTCGAGGGGTCGGACTTGTCAACTCTCCTGACGGTACGAATCCAGGCTGCCCGCTTAGCGGGACGAAGCTTAGCACAGGGGAAGCGAAAAAAGCTAGTTCCACAACCGGGGAGATAATAGTTCCGACAGCCGAAGGCTACACAGTTAACCGGCATGATTGCGGTGCACGTTGTAATCTAGAACGGGCGTCGTCAGTACGATGACTTGTGTTCACCTTGTTCGCAAGATCAAAACTTGAGTCTCGATGGTCTCCAAGGCGCGCAAAGGCGAGAAAAGCAAGATGGCGGATTGTTTAGAACTAGATACTCTCGAACCCAGGCGCATCAAATACTCCGCGCATGCGCACCGCGTATTTCTACAAAAGGTCCATTGAGGTGAATCGGAGCATCGGAGCCTAGAAGTATATTCTTTCACGCGGTCGCGTCTTCGGCGAAAGAGATTCGGGTTGGATAAGTAAATTGAGGCAACAAAGAACGCCAAAGCTTTAAAACTCTGTCAAAAATATCGGCTGATGAACCGGTGCTCCCTGCTCTCCGGAAACATAGGCTGCCGCTGAAACAGGCGTGCCCATGCCGGCGGTCTGTACGCTCAGTATCAAACGGGCTCCGGAGAGCCGTTTGATTAAACCGGTACAGTTTGACGGTCACCGGTCATCCGTATGTTCAACATGGTCGCCGGTTTGAGCAAACGTGCGGCAACTTTACCCAAACGAGTGACCCATTTGCGCAGAAAATTGACCCGTGTGCTAAGGGAGTGACCTCTTTGCCCAAATAGGTGGCCGTCATGGCTCATGCGGGTGACCTCTTTGAGCCATACGCGCGACCCCTTCGAAAAACTGGTGATCGGTATGCCTAAACAGTTACCTGTATGAGCCCGTCTACTTTCATATAGGCGCGAAATGTTCTTTTTCAGTAGGGCGGCGTCATAAAGTGTCGGTGGCTTCTGCTGACTTCAAGCGCGCCTTCACCTCCTCATCCAGGAGGAAATGAAGGTCGCAACATCGGATCTCCACAAGAACGGCTACCCTCGACGGTTTCTTCGGATACTCGAGAAGTCAAGGCATCACCCCGTAAAAAGGTAAAAAAACCGCATTGTTCTGTTCGTTTATTTTATTGTTCCTACGTCTCAGCGTTACTATGGATGTCATCCACATGTAGGGCTCAGCATTTCCCTCCCCCTGCTCCTTTCGCGTCTGTACGCCCAACATTTGCTGCACCAGTGAGGCCCTTTCCCGCGTCCTCGATCGCTAAGGGATTACGGTGACTCATAAGCCCGTGCCAGTAATCGGTCATCGACTCTCCTTCCGAAGGTTCGGCTCCCCAAAGAAAGGGCAGAAGGTTTCGTTTATCGCATACCATGTAAAGATTGCCTGGCTTCATACGTTGGCGAAAGTAAGAACTTCGTAGAGAGGCTTGGCGACAAAAATATGATGTCTGGAAAAATGATGTGCAGGCAAGCGCCCTTGCAGATCACGCAGAAGCAACCGACCACATAGTTGACTTCGAGGAAAGCACTGCGCTGGCCTTGGAGAGGAATTCGCGAAAGCGGCTCTTCGTTGAACCTTAATTCATCCAACGTACAACGAGCAATGTGAATCGTTCTTCGGGCTCCCTACACAAAAGCTACGTCTAGGGACTGCGTGATATCAGCTAAGCTCCCTACATCCGTATGTGCATTTAAGCGACGCGTGTTCTTTCCGTCACTCACCCGTGAAAAAGGGACCGAACTGGTCCCGAAACGTCGGATAAACGTTTATTACATGTTTGGTTAGAGTACCTATTTTTCGGTTAATACAGTCATGAGGGCACACAATTCTGGCTAATCCACTCAAGAATGGCTAAGTATATAGCACGAGCACGCATTGGAGACAGCTGTCTTTGTCTCTGTTGTTATAGTTATCCAGGATCCGGCGTAGACGCTTGTTGGATTGCTCGTACTCCTTCTTTGTGTATAGCGGTGGCTCATGACCCACTTCAAGCTGGATGGTCATCGCGTTCATATGGACTTGTTCGGAGAGAAGCGCATCCAACAACTTGAATACTATAGGATGAAATTCACCGAGAAAATTTTAAAATACCCGGTGCCAGCTTTCAAAGCTAATATTGGTTCTGGTAAGGCTGACCTCTGTCACGCGCTTGCAATTCTACATGGATATTGTGAACCTTGCATCCTTGTGGGGTCGACCGTGGTGGTGCAGTTGTAGGCAGTGTTGTCCGCTCGTCGTGATGTTCAGGAGCTCCTGGCGTGCTTTGACCCAAAGATGATGGGTCAAAAAGCAAGACATTCTCAGAGCTCTTTTCGGAGGCTTCTGTCGAGTCCTTGGTTTCCGTAAAGAGTAAGCTCATTGTTGAGCTTTGAATCTGAAGATTCAGAGTTTTTACGGCATCCATTCCCAACAATGATGTGTCGGTATTCGCTATATAAAACACAATCCTGGCAGAACGCTCCTTGAATGTCACTGTGTCGTTGAACGCTCCCAGGACTTCAATATGTTGCGGACGGTGGTTGACGAGAATTACCGGTGGTGCGATAATCTTTGCGTCATCTCTGAAATACTCTTGAAATACTCCTTTTTCGACGCTAGACACTGACGTGCCGGTATTCAAGGGGAACGTAAGTGGTCTATAATAGACACTTACGTTAATGCAAATTTCCATCCGAGAGGGCGTAGCTACATGGCGAACTTGTGTCTTGTCATCCACTTGGTCGGAAAAGATTTCGTGGTTTCGCACGTGACTTTGACGGCGGACAGGTCAGTGCCTGCTGCGGCACACCGCGCTAAAAATGCCCGATCTGGCCGCAACCGCTGCAAGCCCACCTTCGTGCTGGGCACGTGTCGTAGCTCTGACAGTAGTCCAAACCGAATCCGCAGTTCGCACATAATCGACCGTCGCGATAGGTCTCGCGCAGCTTAGGTGTTCAGGGTTGAAATGCAAGGCGGGGCTGTCCAAA